CGTTGTAATCGATGCACTCGGGGCTCCTCGTGTTTCGCGTAAAGGCGACTTTTCTACTAACAGGTGTTCTATACTTAAACCCCTGCGTGATATGCAATGATAGACGCTCGCCGTCTATCACGTCTCGCGACTGTGTAGCGCCTCGCTTATCACTGGTTAACTCAATCTCTCTACGATTCTACGATCAATTAACTGATCATCAGCGCGAGAACTGCCTTTCCCAACGAAACGGCAGTACACACCGTACATTTTACTATCTAATACTAGTAAGCGTATGCATTTAATCTGTCGAAAATAAATCAAGACGTCCTTTCTCAAGACTGAAACACGCGAACAAGCCGGTTTTAACTCTAGAAATTCATACTACATGGTTTGTAAAAAAAAGTTACATCGGGAATGGCATATCCGAGTCAACCTTAGATTTCCATAACTTTCGTAAAACTCAACATTTCTTATGTATTTTTTTTTTATTTTTATTCGACACAGCAAACCTTCAACAATACAGCTATGACATGAACAAACTGTTGATATCAATAATAAAAACAGTAAACACTTGTTTCGAAGAAGATTGTTCTTTAGAAATTCGTATTTTCCGATACGTTATCATAAAATTATTTTCAATAAATGTTATTTCTGATACGTTATCATAAAATTATTTTCAATAAGTGTTTACGAAAGTAGAAATTATGAACTTTAAGAAAAAAATACGACATTACTGTGTTTCTTAAAAAATATAATTATTAGTGAGAGTATGAAAATGAAGAAAATTTGTTGTTCACAGATTACCTTTTTTTTCGAAAAATGCACTTATTTCTATATTTTCTTTTTTTTAACAAGAAGTATAATTGTAAAAATGAAATGTAGAGATAGTAGAAAATGTAGATAAAGTTATATAGGGTGAATACGATTAAGTGTTCCAACTTTTTATCATGCATAACATTTAATCATATTAGTTATCGGCGGTAATTAATCAAGTAGCGTGAAGATGACCTGCGCGCATTTTCATATATCTACATTTTCATATGGTTATAAGTTATAAATATTATATAATAATATATAATAATAATAAATAATATTTATAAATAAATAGCAATAATAAATATAATACTTATAATAAGATGTAGATATGCAAATACGCGCAGGCCATCTTCACGTTGTCCGATTATTTACAATTACCGTCGATAACTAATATAATCTCTTCGTCACTGCCGACATCGCGTTATTTAATTACCTTTAATTTAATTCGATCAAGTTTAGTATCCCGATGAATTGTTCACAACAAGTAATGTCTTGACGTATTGTTTACAACAGGTCGCGAAAACCCCGTGCGGGACTCGTTCTGACTCGGGAGCCGCGCGCTCATTGGTTGCCGATTTCAACCAATAGAACGATCGAAGCTGGCGCGCCATTACTCTTTCAATTCAAACGATATCTTTGAGCGTAATCTCATCAACACTGTCTGTGACATCGACAAAATAATATTAACCCTTATCGGTCGTAACTCACCTCTCACGTGACAACAATACTTCGTCGCTGCGGTCGTACGTCACGTAGGAGGTGACAAGTTCGCATATTTACCGAAACCAGTTACAACCTAGTGAGAATCATAATGTCGTTTTTCGACAATCCAACATTACAAATCATCATTTCGTATTAAGCGGACGTTTCATAACTCGACAGCTGTACGCACTTAACAGCCCTTTGTACTGTTTTTCGAATTTTCTCTCCATTTTTTCTTCCATTTGTCACTCCGCATTTTTTGTAAATACGTATACCTTACGCGTGTAAAAGGGTTTCATAAACTTAGTAAAGCTATTTCTATGGATGGAACGATGAGACTTGTGATGTCGACGATCACCGATCACTAGAGAATCCTTTTAAATCGATCGGCTGCTTTTTAAATAGAATCAACAGTCTACGCGCGATATTATCAACAATAGGGATTATGGGAAAGATACGAAAACAAGAGTATATATCTACACAACAATTTACAAAACAAGACACAAAACAAGTATATATCTGCAAAACAAGAGTCTATATCTACACGGTCCTCCTCCCTCGTGATCGAGAATCGATGCGATCGTAACCTTGATCGGCCTCGGTCGTCTCTCCGACGACGAGCTCGATAGAGCCTCCGGTGCCTCCACAAATTTCGCTCGCGCGGGGGTGAGCTCATATCGCGCGCGAGCCGACGGAGAAAGAGGGTGGCGCGACCAGTTGCGAGCGGGGAGGAGGGAGGGGGGATGGAGACCGGGAGACGGGGTAGAGCGTATGGTAATGGCGCGTAATACGATCTGATTGCATTTATGATGAATGGGGGTCGCGGTGTGGGGCGCGTGGAAAGGGGGGACGACGCGTGTCGAGTCGGGCGGTCGGAAATTCTGCTTGCGGTTTAATGACAGCGCGAACGCGCTCGCTCTCTCGTTCGATTCTCGACCCCTCGCTCACGCGTTCGTTCATCCCCATCCCGGCGACCCACGCATCACCCTCGGGGCTCTCAGCGCGGGCTACTCGCACGAGCGAGCGAGCGAGCGACGCGTGCACGCACGCACGCATGCATGCACCCTCGTATGTACGCACGACCGAGCTCTCCGGCCGTGTTTGCCTTAATTTGCGCGGCGAGCCGAACGCATGAGCAAACCCGACCGCGATTCGAAGGGATACCTCATGTCTTCGAGAGAGCACGCCGGTGAAATCCGGAGAATTTAACCTCTCCCTCTACCTCCGAATAGAGGCGGAAATTAAACGATCGAATGAAAATCCGATACTCTTGCAAGAGTTGAATGTACAGTCGGCATCGTGTACACCGTGACATTCCCCATATGGAAAATTACAGGATCTTCAGCTTTACACGTAAAGCCGAAACTATTATCATTACGACTTCATCGTTACAATTAAAGTTACTCATGCGATTTTCAACCTTATGAGCTATGTGTATAAGGTTGAAATTCGTATAAATCTTCCGTTTAGGGAATAGTGCAGCATATATGGCGTCGAAAATTTCCAACCCAGGATGTTATTTGCGCATCATGGCTATTAACAATTTGATGAGTCGGCAACGACTCTTCAAAGTAGCAATTATGATGATCACAAGTATCTAAAAATAACGCGCTTAATTAGAAATTTCCGATATCACTATGCCTATGAAACGGGACAGCATTAATGAAGTCTGCTGTACACCCGGCGCCGTGGATGCCTTACCCTTCGTTAGGTGAAAAAGTCATCATCGTCGCGAAGGATCTTTGCACCTTGAGAATCGATCGGGCACGACAGTTTCCCCGACGGACTACGAGTCGATTTTCAAACACCTCGGCAAGGACTCGATCGCGCTCGAAGCGGTCCGGAGATTTCTCAGACGCCCCTCTTCCCATTGATTTACTTTCCGACGCAACGATGCGTGCGTCCGATAACGATTTTACGAGCTTCACGCGTCCGAGGACTTGGCTCGTAAGCCCCCGTATCGTGCATTTTGATCTGGCTCTCCCATCGCTTCGACCGCGAACGCGCGATGTCACGGAACGATATCGGGATATCGTGACGAATCACCAGCCTTGCCAGGAGAATTTCTCCCCCCGCCGACTAACCGGTATGAATGATGGTCCCGCTCTTGTTTATCGCGGACTTGCGAACGCTAAGGAAAGCGAGGATGCATAAACGCGATAACGTCAATGCGGCGCCTACCGGGCTCCGAGCAGAATTTCACTGAATTATAATCAAGCGAACATTGGTAGAAACAACTTATTAAGATCAGCTCGGTAACAAGCTCATTTTCCCAGATAAGTTATTGCATTGTTATTAAACTTGATTTGCGGGAATTTATCCCTTTGATACGATGCTATTACGCAATGCTTGTGCAGGGTGTTACATCGACACACGACCCATTATAAGACGGGTCGGCTGATCAAAGGCGCGCGCATCCAGATGGCAATTTCGGATTTGTCGATACAGTCACTCGCATACCTTTTTCTTTATTTTGATAATTAGGGTGATAATTAGGAACGCTGCAACTTCGTTGGAGAGGTATGACTGTATCGACAAATCCGAAATTATCATCTGGACGCGCGCGCCTTTGGGCAAACAACCCAATGGGTCGTATGTTGATGCAACATCCTGCACATAAAGAGCGAAAGAATAAAAAAGAAACGCATAAAAATAGAAACTGAACGGCACAGTATGAGGAAGAAAAAGACAGTAAAAATCCTCCTCTGTCTCAATTACAGAAGCAAAAACAAAATACATGTATAACAAACGAAGTAAAAGAAAAAAAAGGACATCATGAGGAGCTTAAATTTAGGTGACTAACGATAACGCTTTTAAAAGAAGGCGATGACATATGATGAAAATCGATATTATCGTTAGGATCATTAACAAAGTTTCTCATACATGACGAAGTATCGCGAGGAACTTGCATCTCCGTTGACCGAAAAACATCCACCTTCGCTAAGTCGAATGCAGACTCCTCCGGAATTATTCCGTCGGATCGAATATACATAGACACGTAGCTCCGTGCACGAGTATACGGGGAACCAGGGTTTCCCGGTGTCCCCAGAGAGTGATCGAGTGGATTGCCTTGACGCTCGGAACTTTCCACGCCTGAGAGTCACCTCTAAACTTCTCTCCTGACCCTTCTCTCTTTCTCTCTCTTTTTACCAGCGCGAAACGGCCGGTCTTTCTTCGTCGCATATCCCCTTCCTCTTCCTCTCTTCCTCCTCGGTCTTCCTTTTCTGCTTCACCTTTGTCTTTCTACGCGTCCACTCCCGACAGCGAGGAACGAGCGTTCTCGGACAGGAAGATAAGTGACCGTCGAAATTGCTCGGCTCCGGCAAGAAGCTGCCACGTGGTCGCGGAAAGAGGTGTTGTCCGTGTCTCCCGCTGCCATGCCGCTATTCGCGAGAGTGCGGCATACCGAGTCCACGTCCAACTAGACATCCAATTATTTCCCCCTAGATTAGTTGGTTAATAAATTGACGATTTGCATAGAGTTAAATGAAAAAGGGATGTATTAGAATGTATGTATTTGTAGAAAGAGTGGAATGAATACATTGCGGATTCTAAGATCTACGGGAATAATATGTTCTTAGAATCTCATTAAGAATAATTCGAGAAAACAATGTATCGAGCGAGCTTCATCGCAAGATAAACGTCCAAGGGTCGCTATGGTTCACATCATTTTCATCGATTATTTTATAATAACGTACGCGTATCTCTCTTACTGAGACGTGTGAGAATAGATTTCAAGCTAGAAAACTCAGTATTTATGGGCACTATGTTCGAGGACGCAAACGCTCTCATATGAACAATACAATGAAATATACTGCATTACAGCAACTTTCGTTTTCATGCATTCTTCAACACTTCCCTTAGCAATTCTGACGAGAAATATCGAGATCATCGGGTAAAAGATCATCTCGTGCTATTAAAACGTATACAATAATCAGAGGACAGTTCTTTCATGTTCTTTCATGCTTTAGTCTCGCATCTGATATCTATAAAATCTACAACGAAGAAAGAAACGAGAAGAACGTTTTAATCTAATAGATTAAAATGTTCTTATTCTTATTTTTTTCTTGTCTATTCACTAAAGTTTCGTCAAGTATGAGCATGTCTCGGGCCTCCAAATTGCACTTGCACTTTTGGCATTAACCCTAATATTTTATCTTAATTAAACCATTAAATAAAAAAATTTCGTATCGTAATTCAATAGAATCCTAAATTTCCTATTTACAATTGTATGATGTATTATGCTTAAATAAATATACACTGAAGCCGCTGCGAATGTCTACATTTCATAACGCGTTATGAAACGTAAACACGACGACACACTATCTTGCATCGTAAGTGTAAGGAGTCCAAAAAAACTCGATGCATTTTTTTTTACAAAATAGGATGATATATCATATACATAGCTAGGTACACTGTGACATATCGCCTCATCGTAATTCTCTTTGGAAATGTCTTTAACCAAACTGGAAGGAGAAACCATCCGGAAAACCATCTCCCTGGAACTGGAAGTTCCCTTGTTGGAAGAAAGAATGGAACATCGCATTGGGATCTATATCTGAGAGAAAGGCAAAGAAATTATTATTGAAATTATTATAAAAATATTATTAATCAGTAGTAAGGAATTATAAGATACACAGTCTTGGTTACTTTGGCATGCGTGGCAAATTGAAAAAATACGAGTACCGACCTTGGAAACCTTCATTGTCATCTATATCATGACCGCGATCATAGCGAGATCGTTTCTTGGGATCCGAGAGAATGCCATAAGCTTCCCCAACTTCCTTGAACTTCTTCTCTTGTTCCTTCTTCTCCCCTTCGGTTGCATTAACGTGACGATCTATAAAATAGATATAGCGTAATGTTAAGAATTGCATGCTCTGCAATTGTCACGAATTATCCGAGATATTTGTCCCTTACCTGGATGATGGACCATCGCACGTTTTCTATATGCCTTCTTGATGTCATCAGTGGATGCATTTTTGTCGATACCTAAAATTTTGTAGTAATCTTTCCTCTTGGACTTCTTCAGCGCCAATTTCGCCTCTGCGAGCAACCGTTTGTTCTCTACGAAAATGTTTGAAATTTATGCTCTCGCATGTTAACAGCGAGCCGTCCGACGTTCCACAATACCCTATGTTATCAGGTTTATCAGGTGAAATAAAGAAAATAACAGATGATAAAAGGAAAATTGAATTTGTACCACGACTCTTATCCATTTTGCATGCTTGCTCAAGATCTCGAACCGCATCTTCATATTCTTTGAGTTCCATGTAAGACGCCGCTCGTCTGAGGAAAGCTTTCAAATAGTTTTCATCGAGCTTCAACGCTTCGGAACATTCCGCTACGGACTCCTTTAATCGCCCTAACTGAAAATGTTAAACAATTATTTTTTATTTTTACATCGATAAGTTATATACAAGTGATAAATCTTCTTGTTCTCAAAGACGTATATTTATAAATATTCGAGTGAGTTAAATCAGCTTTTGGCACAGATAGCAAATATTAAATTTTCTCGAATATCTATACAAGAGAAAAGTATTCTCAAATTGTTAGCTACAAAAAGATTGCTACAGAAATAGGTACAAATTACAGAAAAATTGCTATAATTTGATTATTACTATTAATAGCAATTATTTGATATTTGATTGACATATTTGATTATTACTATTAATTTACTATTAATAGCAAATAAACATTAAATTTAAGTCAAAAAGTTACTTGGTAAAGTAAATTAACAGAAAAAAATTAGAGAAAAAGCAGAGCAACTATTCATTATGACTGAATCTAACGATTTTATTATACGTATAAACAATATTTACACAAACATTTCGATTTGAAAAGTGTATATATATGTGTACGTATACTTGTATATGTAAAAGGTATACCTTTGCTGCTACTGTTGCCTTGTTGAAGTGCAATTTAGCGTTGGTCATGATATTCTGTGGATCAATAGCTAAGGCTTCATTATAAATATTATACGCTTCCTGATATTGTCTCATTTTAAACGCCGTATTGCCTTCTTCCTTTTTTTTTCTCAGACATCGTGCTCGCTACAGCGAGAAAAAAATATATACGTATGAAATGTTGATATCTTGTATCGTAATATTACCCAGTATGAATTGGAAAACTCTTATTGTTTATGCGACCTACTTTGTATATCTCCAATGCTTTGTCGTGATCTGGCGCGAGTCGCAATACTTGTTGGAAGTGAGTAAAGGCCTTGTCGATATTGTCTTGGAAATACAAACACATCCCACGGATGTATATCGCATCAGCATTGTTCTTATCGATGTGCAATGTATCACTGATAGGATAAAAAGATGAGACACAGATTAATAAATATATATTGTGTATGCATACGCTTGCAGTAGTAGATCGACATACTTGGCAATTTCTTGAGCTTCTTGGTATCTGCCCAAGAATGCTAGACATTCCGCTTTGGTTAGTTTGAAACGTGTGCAGGAGGTGCTTACATCGCAACAACGGTCCATGCAATATACAACCTGCAAAGGCAAAATTCAATGATCACGCGATATGTATAACAGATCACCGATAAAACAAAATGTTATCGCATCGTTATCGAATAGCTCACCTTGCGATAATCCTTGGCATTGTATGCAGCATTAGCATCCTCATAGTACTTTTTCACATATGCTAAATCTTTTTGTTCCGCGGCTATCGTTTTGTTGTCAGGATCAAATTCCAACAACTTTTGCAACATAGTTTCGGCTTCCACAATGTCACCCAGAACCAAGCAACATTTGATCGCTCTTACGTATCCCTAGAAATTAAGTATAAAACATGTCAATTAATTGATTTGTCGGCAGCTATGTATATAAATAATAAACATGCCTTGGTAAACTTCGGTTCCAGTTGGATACATTTCTTAGCATCTACCAATGCGTCTCTGTATTGTTTGAGCATCATGTAACACGCAGCTCTATTGCCATAATAACGCGAAACTTCAGGACACAATTCTAAAATATTTCCCATTATTTATATTTATCAGTACAAAACTAGGCTGTAAAATCTCCAAATTATAAATATTATCGTTAAATTTTCTCTTCATTGTTTAAATGAACGATATATAATATCTTTATATAACTTTATATATCTTTATATAATATAAATATATAATTTATATAATATAAATATTCAGAGTCACATCTTATATTCGAGATCATCATAAGTTTTTTAGATTTTTTACATCTGATAAAACGATCGGTAATTACCAGTAATATCTGATGACAAACTTAAGACGACCTTAAATACAAGACTCTGATTGTGAATATAGATTATAAAATACTTACCAAGGACTTCACTGTACAAAACTAACGCCTTCTTGTATAGTTTTAATGAATAAAACTGATTGGCAGCTTCTTTCTTTCCTTCTGCCAGTCTGTAAATATATATGGATAAAATAATTACAATAGCAAATTATAATAATTAATATATGTTGCAACGTAATACAAAAACTAATACTATAAGAGAGCTAATAATGAAAGGTAAATATGCATAAATAAATTTCCAAAGCAAGAATCTCTGTTCGATGATGATGCTAATTTTGAAAATAAGTTATTGAATCAGTACTGTCAATAGGCACTTGTGTTCCATTTATCCTTACTACTCGCGAGCCCTGACGTTATTTACATGGCAGAACTTGAAGATTGCGGTGAGAGGACTAACAAACACTGTAACATGCTCGATTCGATCTCTTATGAATACAATTAAATACAAGAAATTCCCATTGAAGAATGGCTTATGCAACAGGATGTTTAATATATAATCACGCTTCGTATTTTATTCTTCTATCGCGCTAAATGTGAACTTGAAGCATAATGAAAAGTTTTCTAATGGACAACTCACTTCTTGATATCCTCAAGTGTGTTTGTAACATTCTCATCCATTGTGGAATTAGAGAAAACGTTGGAGCTCGGATCAGACGACGCCATGGCATCCATGTTTTTCGAGGCGAAAGGCGAAAATTTGCGACGGGCCAGATGTACACCGTGTGCACGCAGGACTGTCGCACTTCCTTCCGTATCCACGAGAAGTAAACCCACGACACTGCGTGTCCGATATCATTCACCGCGTACCGAATGGTGACACACGATGAAGCGTGCCCGCTCGCTCGCCCACAGCGATTTCTCTCGCAAACACACCTGCCAACTTTTTATTCTTCTGACGTATCTGACTTGTCGCTGAATCGTAGTATTTGAAAATAAAAACACTGCTCGACTTGCTATTGAGTTGTGTTATTGAGAAATAATGTTCCCTCTGATTCGTCCGATCGCGTACGTAAAAATAAAAGAGCTGCCTAATCTGGTGTTAAGGCATACTACTGAGAAATAAAAATTCGTTCGACTTGCCATTGAGTTTTAAGCCCGTAACAGACTACGGATTGGAAATTGAGGTTGATTTGAATTTAGCCAATCAGCGTAAAGTTAACTAAACTTAAGTTTAGGGAAATTTAGTGAATTCTACACTGATTGGTAAAATTTCAATTAAATTTCAATTTTCCATAGTCTGATACAAGTTTAATGCTACATTGAGATTGAAATTTGGTTCATTAAATTTAAGTTGAATGAATCTTGCTCCGATTGGCCAAATATTAAGTCACTCTCACGGGTTTTACTACGGCCGGTGTTCATAGGTTATGGCTACTCATAGGACGCGGCAACGCATGCCGCGCGGCGGAAGTTCGCGCGGTAGCCAATCAACTTCTAATTCTTATTGAAAAACGGCATATTGATTGGCTACCGCACGAACTTCCGCCGCGTGACAAGAAGCGACACGGTAGCCAATCAACGTGCTGCTTTCCCACGAGAGTTCTCCACTAAAAGTTTATTAGCTGCCGCGTCATTTTTTGCCACACGGCAAGCATTTTCGCGTCCTGTGGGCAGAAGCCATTAAGGTGCTAAGTAACTTGCGTAAGCATTACTTGCGTCAGCTAATCAAATCAGTAAGTAAGTAATCGGTAATTAGGTAATTGAGACGATTTGATTGGTTGACGCAAGTACGCTTACGCAAGTTGCGCAGCATGTGAAAATATCCTTAGGCTGCCTCCTCATGCGTAACTTGCGTCAGCCAATCAAATCCTCTGTGGTAATTGGTAATTGAGACGATTTGATTCTTGAGGCTTCCACGAGCTTCGCGCTCGCACGAACTGCTCAAAGTTTGAGGCTCGAGCTTCAAGCTCCCACGTGCTCCTCGAGGCTTGCCAAGCTTCCACGTGCTTCGTGCTCGTACGAGCTGCTTGGAGCTTGAGGCGCAAACTTCAAACTCCCACGTGCTCCTCGAGGCTTCTTGAAGCTCCCTTGAGTTACATTAAACCCAATATTTCAGAATTAAGCTTTTAGTTCTTTATGAGGTTGAGTTGAACCAAAGAACGGTGGAAGAAAATTCTTCGCATGCTGTGTAGTGCATGAAAAATATTTAACAATTTGTATATAAATAACTGCTAAAGAAAA